TGTTGTGGTCGATCGTAACGTTGCGAGGTAGGAAGCCTATTTTCTCTCCGCTGCGACACGGCCCTCCTTGTCATGCCAGCTGTTCTTTTGTACTTTCCGAAAACCAATGGTTTCGGTTGCAGCTGAACGTAAGGAATTTGAAATGCCGTCATAAAGTTCCCTTATAGTCGAGTAACCACCATTTTTTATTACTGCAGCACATCTGCGGGAATCTTGCTGAAACAACCACTTTAAAATCATATTCCACTTTCTTCATTATATCCACATACAGGTACTGATCCATGGTTACTTTTATTAGATGGATTGGTCCCACGCCGTTGTTTGAGAAACTTCCCCAAACCATTACTTTTGCACCACTATGTTTGACAGTCTTAAGGGTGTAGTGTGGAAATTGTAGCTCCTGAAGGGTATCGTAGGATCCGATGGTATTATTGGCAGGACCACTTCACCTTTAAAGTTTCCAGATAATATGGTTGCTTTAAGAATATATCCAGTGATCTTTTTGATAGCCAAACTCCCACCTTTGCATAATGGAGGTGAATTCAAATTATGGAGGAGAAAAATAGGTGAATCATTCTTTAATCGAAGATTATGTGGTGGCTTTCCGGGTATATCTAGCGAGTTTCAAAATTTAATTGGAAAACTTACACTTTCATTTTCATTAAGAACAGTATCGAGTGATTTAAAGTACATCAGATCGCCTGATAACAACTGTTGTATTTGGAAGTTAATTTCGTCAACATCAACATTTTTAGCTGCCAAAATATCCCGCTCACTGAACCAGTGATGATGCAAGTAATTACTCTGTATAGTCGGAAAAATACTCTGAATCAATTCATTTTTTTCCTCAAGAATAGTGCGTAAATTATTTGGCAATTTAATGCTCTTTCAATACGATTGCGTTGTGCCACTCTGCTTTGAGTCAGAGGTCTTTGTCTATTATTTGAAAGCCATACTTATCCGTTGTTGATGTCTTTGTCTATTATTTGACAGTCACACTTATCCCTTAGCTGCAAAATATTCTAACAAATGACTTTAACTTTTGGCTGGACTGAGTAAGTATCTAATAGATGGCGCTATTTGAATATGCACCTGCGTTTATGAATGAACTCGTTTTTGTTGTAAAATTTACTACATTTGGGCTTCGCCAATTTGTCTGCCATATTGGGTTGCCATGCTTATACTATTTAAGACGATTGTTGTTTTGTAGAACAATGTTTCAATTTTTTGTTGGTGGCATACTCACATGTGTATGCGTATGCCATGCTTCACATGTGTATGGGTTGCCATGCTTATACTATTTAAGACGATTGTTGTTTTGTAGAACAATGTTTCAATTTTTTGTTGGTGGCATATTCACATGTGTATGCGTATGTATATTTGTATGCTTGTGCATTTTTTGTTCGGAAGTGTATACAAATATATGTATGTACATATAAGTATATATGAATGTATGAACATTTAGATTAATGCGCGAGTTAACGACATAGCTTCGCTCCGGGTTACACACACACACTCACATACATCTTATCTTTTAATATACATCCCGAACGAACTATGTAAACCGATGATTGACATGCACTATCAGTCGAACAATAGAAATGCACTATTATTACAATACCAACCACATATGCATTATCTAGAAATGCATTCTCAACATATAAACGACAAACATCTGGCAATGGAATAATAAACTGCGATAACCACCTCCGCATCTCTTCTACTTGTATTACAAACAAGTGATAGCAAGATAACGGATATTGAATTACAACAAAGAAGTTTCAAGCAGATAACAGCAGCCGCATTTCACTAGTATAAATAGCTGTAAGATCTTATATTAAAGTTAGTTATTAAGAATATCAATAAAGACACGCATTTCGGCGTAGAAATAAAATTGTTTTCTTAAACTCATATCGTGGAAACGATATTAACTGGGGGCTCAACCGGTCTTAAAGCCATTTTTTCCTACGGTAACGGATAAAATAAAATTTAAAGCAAATTCCACGGGAAGTAGGACTTCCACAGACAAGGTTCTGAAAAAGCGGACAGACGGCAGATCCTGAAACACTGGATAGCGGCAACTACAAAAAATAACATAAAAACAACGTTCTGAAAAAGCGGATCTCAAAAGTTCCTGAAAAATTGGAAGCAGCACTGACAAATTTTAAATGAAAGATCATCAACCTGGACTCTCATAAAAAGAGACAGAAGCTTTTTAATTTGAATCGTCCTTTACTCAACGCCAACCCAAAGATGTCTGCGCAGGAAATAGAAAGGGTGGCTACCCTAGAAGATGGTCTGCAATCTTATATAAGGACTATCGAACAGCTCGATGATTGCAAGCCAAATATCGCCTACGAAGCGCAGATCAACCTAGATGTCTTCAAGTCGTTATCAGCCTTCATGGGTAACAGAAATTAGTACAGATCCTGGAGGAAACGTGCGTGGACGCACATGGATAACATAAAAGAATATGCCACAACCCCAACATATTACACTGCACTCTCGATACTACATTCAAAAATTCAAGGAGAGGCAGCCGACATATTAATTAACCACAATACAAAGTTCAATTTTTACTCGATAATAAATCGATTGGACTACACTTATGCAGACCAGAGGCCTTTATACGTGTTACTGGATGAGATGAAAAAAATAATACAAGGAAAATTTACGCTGGAAGAATTTCATTGTGAAGTCAGCAAGGCRTTGAATCTTGCCCTAAGTAAAATCGAGATGGACAGCTCCAATGAATCTTCAAAAATGCAACAATACGCGACTCAAGAAGCAATCAGAACATTCATACTTGGCTTGAATAGCAAGTATACCAGCGGCACCCTCTACAGCCACAATCCAAAGGACTTAGAAACCGCCTACGCTATCGCTTGCACTATAAGCCATGACAACGTGAATTGCCAATTTGATGCTATGCGGTACAACAACCAGAGACAGTACAACAACCAGAGACAATACAACAACATGCAGCATCAACCAAGCAGAAGTTACCACAATGACCAGCGAAGATACAAGCCGAACGTGCAAGTGCAATATACCCAAAGTGCACCACCGCAGCAGTGCCAACCAATGGACGTAGATTCCTCACGCCAATACAGAAGACCCACCAACTTCAACGCCGCACCTATACAAAACAACTATGACCGCTAAATGCAAGGATTATGTCCAAACAACCCATTTCGAGGAGACCCACAGAAGAGGCACCAAAATCCTTCATCACGCAACTACGTCGCACCACAGAAGTTACAACGTGTAAACCAAACATATGAAGAAGAACTAGACTCTCTTGCCCCACACCAAAACGGCGATGATTACAAGACAGGCTCTGTTTTTTTAGGCTACTCGGCTTGCACTCCTGCTCTCTGAGAGCACTCGTCAACAACTCGGAATAAGGGAACTGTGGGACGGCATTTCAAATTCCTTACGTACAGCTGTAACCGGAACCATTGGCTTTCGGAAAGTGCAAAAGAACAGCTAGTACGAGGAGGAGTGCGGTGTCGCAGCGGCAAGAAAACAGGCTGCCTACCTTGCAAATTTACGATCGACCACAACCCGTGCGGGATGGGATAGATACCGAGAGTTGAAGAGGGAAGCGAGACGCATTTGCAATCAGAAAAAGAAAGAGGCCGAAATGCGTGAGTACATAGAGCTTTATAAGATGGCCGACAGGGATAATGCTCAAAAATTCTACAAAAAATGCGGCGGCTTACAGAAGGTTTCAAGACCGGAGCATACTCTTGTAGAACCCCCAAAGGTGATCTAGTCACCGATGCCCAGAGCATACTTAAATTTTGGAGGGAACAGACTTAAGTGTGCTATGCCCAATCCACAAAAAAAGTGCCCACAATCTCCGCCACCTACCGTGGTATTAGCCTCCTCAACATCGCATATAAGGTTCTGTCGAGCGTATTGTGTGAAAGATTAAAGCCCACCGTCAACAAACTGATTGGACCTTACCAGTGTGGCTTTAGACCTGGAAAATCAACAACCGACCAGATATTCACCAAGCGCCAAATCTTGGAAAAGACCCGTGAAAAGAGAATCGACACACACCACCTCTTCGTCGATTTCAAAGCTGCCTTTGACAGCACGAGAAGGAGCTGCCTTCATGCCACGATGTCTGAATTTGGTATCCCCGCAAAACTAATACGGCTGTGTAAACTGACGTTGAGCAGAACCAAAAGCTCCGTCAGGATCAGGAAGGACCTCTCCGAGCCGTTCGATAGAAAAGGAGGTTTCAGACAAGGCGACTCCCTATCGTGCGATTTCTTCAACCTGCTTCTGGAGAAAATAGTTCGAGCTGCAGAACTAAATAGAGAAGGTACCATCTTCTATAAGAGTGTACAGCTGCTGGCGTNTTCAACCTGCTTCTGGAGAAAATAGTTCGAGCTGCAGAACTAAATAGAGAAGGTACCATCTTCTATAAGAGTGTACAGCTGCTGGCGTATGCCTCGTATTGATATCATCGGCCTCAACACCCGCGCCGTTAGTTCTGCTTTTTCCAAACTGGACAAGGAAGCTAAGCAAATGGGTATGGCAGTGAACGAGGGCAAGACGAAGTATCTCCTGTCATCAAACAAACAGTCGTCGCACTCGCGACTTGCCTCTGACTTCACTGTTCACAGTCATAACTTTGAAATCGTAGATAATGTCTATTTTGGAACCAGCGTAACCACCACCAACAATGTCAGCCTGGAAATCCAACGCAGGATAACTCCTGTGAAGAGGTGCTACTTCGGACAGAGTAGGCAATTGAGAAGCAAAGTCCTCTCTCGACGAACAAAAACCAAACTCCATACATCACTCATAATTCCCGTCCTGATTTACGGTGCAGAAGCTTGGACGATGGCAACAACTCATGAGTCGATGTTGCGAGTTTTCGAGAGAAAAGTTCTGCGAAAGATTTGCGCGTTGGCCACGGCGAATATCGCAGTCGATGGAACGATTAGTTGTACGAGATATATGACGACACAGTTCAGCGAATTAAAAGACAGCGGCTCCGCTGGCTAGGTCATGTCGTCCGAATGGACGAAAACACTCCAGCACTGAAAGTATTCAGCGTCCAATACTCCCGCCGGGGGAAGCAGAGGAAGAGGAAGACCTCCACTGCGTTGGAAGGACCAGGTGGAGAAGGACCTGGGCCCTATTGCACCATTCACTTAGCACTTTTCACTTTGCAAATTTTTGAAAAGAGTTTTTTTTTTTGAAAAGTAAAGTTGATGAGTGTTGCACTTTAAACTTATCAATAAGCTTTTCAACTTGTCGAAACTGACGAGCACTTTGGATAAGTTGATTTGATAAGCGTTGCACCAACAATTTCTTTTGCTTTGCAAATAGAAAAAACTTTTCTAATAATGTGCTAAGCGCTCTCAATGAGAAGTGGAGCAAAGCAATGTACGTTTCGATAATATTGCTCAGTTTCTCTTTATTATTTAGAGTGCTATGTCGCGTGCACAAAACAAAGCCAATAAATTGGCCGTTTTACAAGTTATAAAGGGGAAAAAAGTAAGTTTATTTTGATTATTATATTTCGAATGTATACATGAATATGCAATAAATATATTTATCTACATATAAGGATTCTTTATTTGGATCTTTTCAAAATAATGCAACTTGCAAAACGCAAAAGCAAGATGGTTGGACTGAAGTTCTAAAGACGGCACAATCCCTCGGACTAGCTGCTGCTAATCTAGATCTTATGCAAGAGATAATTTATTTGGCCTTTGGAAGAACCGAACTTTGGTAATTTTGTTAAAATTTGTTATTTTCAAAGAATTTTCGGTCGATTCTAGGAATAGCAATTAAATAAAAGCAAGTGAGCTTGCAAGTGAGTGAAATTTATTTAAATGCACAAACGGTCTAATTCCAGCTAAGGCAACAAAATTGCAAGAGTATTTTTGTAGTTTTGTTGTTTACACCGTTATTCGCTGCGACAATTAAATTATTTTTATTCGTTGGATTTTTTGCTGCAGCTAACAGTTATTTTCAACAAGATTCAATTCTTACTTCGTGTACATGCACAGCAGGATCTTGTTTTTTTTTTAATAATTAGCAAGTTATAATTTAATAAATAATAAAAATTTGCTTCATTTTAGGCGTAAAAGGACAATGCCAAGAGGACAGGCACTGCGGGTGGTAAAAACGTATTGCTGGATGAAGTCGACAACTACATACTTGACATTTTGGGCAATGAGTCGACAGTTGTTCAGGATCTCGGCCAGTCCGAAAGTGATGGAGTGTCCTCCAATTTGGACAATACATTGGAACAAATCCAACCAGAAAGGACGAGACCAACCAACAGGAAAAGAACATATAATTTACAAGATAGACATGAGGAGTTGAAGCTTGAACTCTTAGAAACCGAAATTTACAAAATAAGCTAAAAATTTTGTCATTAGAACAAAAATTAGGTTTGAAACGATCAAAATTCACAGCGGATTTGGAGAAGGAGTCAATGAATGAAAATGATAAAACTCTCTCATTAAGTCCGCTGCTGTTGTATTAATAATAATTTTTAGTATATACATATGTATATTATTGAGTTATTTGATTTAATTTTCTTCTTTTTATTTTTTTTTTTTCTGAAAACCTTATATTAAGAAGAATTTAAGTTTAAAATATATATATATGTAAATCCAAATCCAAATAAAATAACAAATGTGTACAAATTAAAGTTTCGTAACCTGTAAACTCGTGGGTAAGGCATTAATTTTTTTTTAATAAGGTTTCTTATAAAAGAAGAAATTTTTAATTAAACCAACTTAGCAGACTTTGGAGCCTTTCAGAATTGTTTAGTGACTCCGTGTTCTGAAAGGACTGCTCATTTACATTTTCATTTGCTCCATTCATAATTCCTTCGTCATAATCCACAACATTTTGTGCATCCATTCGACAAATGTTGTGGAAAATGCAGCACATTATTATTATTTTCGCTGCTTTTTCTAGCTGCAACCGTAAATGGTTCAAGCAAGGAAACTTTTCTTTAAGGATACCTGTAAAATTAACTTGGCTACAAAAATCTTAAAAAACAAATGTATGTCTAAAAGTCATACCGAAACAATTTTCAATAATCCTCCTTGTTTTTTATGCGCTCTGTTAAAAAGCTGCTCTTGTGGCGGCGTCGGATTGTTTCGCAAAGGAGGAATTAGCCAATTCAGTAACGGATAAGCACTATCTCCTAAAATTACGGCATTAGGGAATGGACGGAATCCAATTCAAATCTGCCGAACAAATTAGAATTACGTAGGACCCTGGCCAATTACAATTTATGGCATAAATCTGAAAACTAGGTCCACAAACCATCATTGCATTAATCGCATGATTTCCGTGCCTATTCACAAATTGTTCCTCGTAAACGTTAGGCGCGTCTATATCAATCATCGTTCCGTCAATGCACCCTGCGACTTGAGGAAATCCCCCAATATTAAAAAACTGTGTGGCGATATTTTGATTTTTTTCAAATTCTGGCCAACGAATAGTTACGTCCATGAACCGTTTATAACGATATTTGCCACTCCATAGATTACTCTGCACACCTTTGAGTTGTGAACCCCATGCATTTTCGCAATTCCATGATATTGGCCACCATTACCTAACCAGTGCAGAGTGGTTAATAACTGTTGCAGGGGGTTTAAGCACATATTACGCTTACTAGTGTATTGCAGATGCGCTCCTATTTTTAGCAAAATTTTTTCAATTTGGCTACGAGTTAGCCGAAAATTTTCTACCGCACTAATATCCTCATTGTAATGGATCCTTTCGTTGCTAAGACGGGAATTGTGCGAATGTTCGTCTTCCAAAATATTAAAAAGTTCGAATCGAAGCATTTTGTTAGTTTTTTTTTTTTGACTCTTATTAATATTTCACGAAGCTCGAGCACATACTAAGGCCCTGATTAATGCGTTCAGAATAAACTTATTATCATGATAGGTGAAATTATTTTTAGCAAAACAATGCAAAACTTAGCAAATTGAGACAAGAGAAAGGATAAGTAAAAGTTGTTGGTACAACGAAGTGCTTACAAAATTTGCTAATTTGTAAAACTTATTACTTTTCTGCTAAGCACTTTTGACTTTGCATTTAAACTTTTGGCGCAACGCTTATCAATAGCATTGAGAGACATTTTACTTAGCAATACTCAATTGAGTGACTCTCACTTATCAAGTTGGTGCAACAAAAAACTTTGCGTAGTTTTGAGAATTTGCTAAAATGCTAATGACAAGTGGTTATTGCAATAGGGCCCTGGCTAAGCTTGGAATATCCAATTGGCGCCACGTAGCGAAAAGAAAAAACGACTGGCGCGCTGTTGTTAACTCGCGTATAATCACGCAAGCGGTGTCTACGCCAATTAAGAAGAAGAAGATATGGCCTACTACACTTGAGTATCATCAGCAAGAATTGGGGCCTTCAACTACCCATATTAATATACACTCGCCACAAAAATTATCCGTACACCCCGATATGAAAACAAAAAGTTTAGAAATTTGTGATCAAATAACTAATTATTTATGAAAATTATATACAAAAGTTTTATTTAGTATTCTTACTACACTTTCCATACGTTTTTTTTTAGACACAGACATTAAAAGCAAATTCCCAGAACAAAAACCAAAAAACTCACTTAAATTAAACGGAAAAAGTATCCGTACATCATAACGGGGTATCCCCTTTGTAATTTGGTGACAAATACATTCACTTAAGCGCTTATATTGTAGTGTATAATTGATCTCACTTTCAACAGTTCATTTTAAAGTTATTAGAATTTTTTCTTTGTGCAAAAATTCGTGATGTCCGCTAAAATTAAAGAAATTAGCGCTGGCGATAGAAAAATTATTCTTAAACTCAGAAAAAGAGGGCAAATCATTCAGGGAAAAAGGTATAACATAGAAAGACCTCATTCTTCTGTGCAGTATGTCGTGCAAGCATTCAAAAAAACTGACTCGATTGTGTCACAACCAAGTTCTGGTCGTCCAAGTATATTGTACTGTACGAAAATTGTTGAAGAAAGATGGGTAACACGCACGTGTAGCACGTAGCACGTAGGAAGCCTTTTATTTCCGAAGTGAACAGAAAGAAACGTTTGGATTTGGCCAACAAACATATTTACAAGTATCGAGAGTTTTGGGAACGTGTCTTATTCAGCGACGAAAGCAGGTTTTGTTGGTGTGGCGTAAGAGTGGTACTGCATTTGATAAAGAAAATCGTTTACCCACCGTCAAACATGGCGGAGGAGGCGTGATGGTCTGGGGGTGTATGGCGTCAGGAGGAGCAGGCAAATTCCTTTTTATGGACTCAATAATGGATCAATTCGGCTATTCAAGCATTTTGAAAAGTAATTTGGTGATGCTTTTTGGTTTCAACAGGATAGTAATCCAAAGCACAAGGCACAAAATGTAAAGCTTTGGTTGCTTTATAATATAAAAAATCAATTGCGCTCGCCACCTTAATCCCATTGAGCATTTGTGKGATGGACTGGAGCGTAGAATCCGCCAACACACCATAACCTCCAAAGAAGTGCTAAAAATGGGATCATGGACGAATGGGCCAAAATTACAAATCATGACACATCCAAACTGGTTCATTCAATGCCACAACGACTTGCCGAGGTACTAAACGGTAAGGGCTATCCCACCAGTTACTAGGATATTAATTTCACATTGTACGTATACTTTTTCTGTTTCATTATGTGAGATTTTTTTGTATCTGTTTTGAAAAAATTTGCTTAAAGTGTATGCCTAAAAAAAAACTTATGGAAGGTGTAGTGAAAATACATAATGAGTTATTTGATCACAAATTTCTCAGTTTGTTGTTTTCATATCGAGGTGTACGGATAATTTTTCTGGCGAGAGTATATTCACAAAATAGCAGTATGTTCTGCAATAAGAATAAAAGAATTGGGTGGTTAGAATCAGAAGAACTATGGTCATAGTGATTTCAAAAGATACAGATCAGGTGAGGTTACCCTCTAGATGAGATTAGAGAAGGGCCATAATAGGGCAGGAAGATACCATCTCAGTCAGTTCAAAATGGACTTCAGAGTAGGCACCAGAATATATTCCGATGATCTGGGCATTTCTCTTTCTATCCGTATACCGTACTCGTCTAGCATCTTCAAAGCGGAAGTACTGGATATAGAGAAGGCGTTCGAAGCTCTGTTGAGGAACTAATGGATTGTACATAAGGCAGCAATATACAAGGATAGCCAGCGGCTCTCCTGGCCTTGTCATCGCCCATTACTAATTCCAGTCTAGTCCTTAACATCAGAAAGGCACTGAGCTCACTGGAATACAACCTCCACCTTGACTTGATCTGGGTTGACGGCCACAAGAACATTTTCGGCAACGAAAAAGCAGACGAATTGGCAACGGCGGAAGCTTTTCTAAACGAATCCGAGGCAGAGCTATTACCAAGCCCTTTAGGATCGATTAGGAGAGAACTGAATGTACAATTTAAACAAGTTGCAAATAACAGATAGAAAAATATAACAAAATGCATTTTAACTAAGCAGATATGGCTAACATATGAGAAAAAAAATTAACGACTTATTTAATAGTTCCAGGAAAAGTATACAAATACAGTCTAACTGCTACCCAAACAGAGCCTGGGAAAACATGCGTCCAAAATGGGTATGCCCTACAACAATCGCATCGCAACCCTCAAATTTGTGTTCTAGATTTTTTAATATATGCACATCAATTATAACTTATTTAGGGCACTCACAACGTGTCATAAAGCATCGTAAAATGATAAATTTTTATACTAGTTTAAAAAATTTGTTGTTCTGAACGCTATGTTTTGGATCATTATAACTTATAGTTTCATGAGACTACTAGAGGACCCGTACACGCTACACTGTTGCTGATACATACATAATACTACTACTAAAATCTACATATGTATATAATTTCTATTAGTTGGATTATAACTATTAGGTAATGCGATATAGCATTTTTGTGAAGCAACTTTTGTTAGTTTACAAAAAATGGATCATAAAGCATTTCCTTGTTAATAAAGCATTGCTTTTTGGGGGAAAATACTGTTGAATTTGGGCTCAGGAAATCCACCGTTGAAAAGATATTTGCTAACCTGTAAACAGGCGAAATGAGTACCGAGGACAATGATGCTCTAAAAAGGCGAAAGCTCAGTGCAAAGTGGGTGCCTCGCAAGTTCATCATCCAACAAAAACAACGAATAACTGATGCTGAGAAGAGTTTGAGTGCTCCTTAATCCTAATAAAACCAAATTTTTGCGTCGGTGTGTGACAATAGAAACATAGATCCATCATTTCCCACTGGAGTCCAATCGACAGTCATTCTAATGGACTGCACATGCTGAACCGGTTCTCAGGCGTGGTAAAACGAAAAAGTCGGCTGGAATGGTTATAACATCAATACATACTCAACGACTGATTATAATCTATTTTACTGCGTATTTGGTTGCAGCTCTTT